GAGGGGCTCGACAAGATTTTTGCTCCGATTCTCGGGAGGGGGAAATCGGGGCTAAATCGGGCTAAAAATCCTGTAGTGTGAGCCAGGCTTTAGGGGTGTACTCACTTTTGTGGCCAGTGGTTTAGACATTAATGGCTGTGTGTTGAGTTATTTTGAGGGACAGCAAATTTACACTGTTATACAAGCTGTACACTCACTACTTTACATTGTAGCAAAGTGTCATTTCTTCAGTGTTGTCACATGAAAAGATATAATAAAATATTTACAAAAATGTGAGGGGTGTACTCACTTCTGTGAGATACTGTATATATGAATAGAAAATGCAAATGAACAACATTTATTTGTAATAGAAATCTTTTGTAACTTTATAAATGTATTTACTGTCACTTCTGATTAATTTAATGCCTCTATGCTGAATAAAAGTATTAATTTCTTTAAATAGAAAAATCTTACTGACCCTAAATTTTAGTATATAGGCCTGTATCAATAAAGTATATATATCAACGGCAGATTTTTCCATGAACCAGTATTTAATGTAGCCTGGGTTGTATTTTTCTTTTCTTTTTTACCTAAAAGTTCAGATTTAATTTTGCTACCCTAATAACGCATAATTATATGGTTAGTTGTAATTAGCATAATTTTTTTCACTGCCCTCTGCGACCCTATTAGAGAAGACCTGCAACCCACTAGTTAAGAACCTTTGGATTATTTCACAGAAAGAGATAATTGCATGCAGAGCATTCTGGGTGTCACTACATTTATTGATGTGTTTGTGGCTTTGGGTCATGATTCCTGGTTTGCCTGCTCAGGTAATGGACCGCCGCTGCGGTTGGTTGGTGGGGAGGAGGACTTTGAGGGACGAGTTGAGGTCTTCCATAATGGGCACTGGGGGACCATTTGCGATGATCAGTGGGATGACATGGATGCTGAGGTGGTCTGCAGGCAGCTCGGATTGGGGTGAGTCCAATGTAGAACTAATACATCAAATACTAATCGTTCACACCCTGTCATAAATATACAGTGGATGGTTTCAGAGTAATACATCATACTTTTAACTCCTACCTTTTCTAAAATGCCTTTTGCAAACATCTTGGCAAGGTTTTAAAGAAGCAGTAGCACATGTTGTCTCTTGTGAGGTATTTTCATCCCTGAGTGCTCTTATCTCGATGAGAGGAAGATTGAATTATTTATTTTGCGCTGTTGTATTTTTTGCTCTCATACACCATCTCCATCATGTTGCTGTAACAGTTGTAGAGAATAAAGGCTGTGAGATGTCACATGAGCTGCAGTGATGATATATATGCATGACTTCAGTTACTGCAGCATTAAAGCAACTGAATGATGTGTTTGTCGGTTATAGTTAGAACATGTTAGCTTTCAAATGAATCTGTAGTAAGAAGCATTTTAATGGTCTGTGTGTGCCTTTTTGTGTGATACTGTACTCAGTGCTTCACAGGGCCTCTTGGATTCCCACTGAAACTAAGCAGGGTTGAGGCTTATCAGCACCTGGATGGGAGACCACCTGGGAAGTTTATCGATGTTCCCTTATTCCCTATGCCATTTGCAGAGCCCTTTGAACAGAACATGTTTGATCTTTGGATTTGAATCTTACTTAAGATGACAAAAGTATAGGGCACTTAGATCTCCTTTGTATATATGTCTTTGTGTGTGTCCAGGGGGATCCCTAAAGCCTGGTCATGGGCTCATTTCGGGCAGGGCAGTGGGCCGATCCAATTGGACGCAGTACAGTGCACAGGCAATGAGCTCTCTCTGGACGAGTGCCGTCACAGCGGATGGGAACAACACAACTGTGACCATATGGAAGACGCTGGGGTGTCATGCAATCCCTATACAGGTCTCATCCTACACATAGACACACACATACAAACACTTACAGCCTTGGCTCTCTGGAATATCTTATTCTGATTGGTCATTCACAATATTCTGTGCAGTTTACCCTAATATACACAGTTTTCGACATAAACTGACTGTGCTAGTTTTATATCTCTTGTATCGTTCCTTGGTCTCTTTGTTCTCACATTAAAAAAAATAAATAATTTAGACTCGAATCAATATTTCATGTCCACTTGTTCCCTTATTCCCTATGCCATTTGCAGAGCCCTTTGAACAGAACATGTTTGATCTTTGGATTTGAATCTTACTTAAGATGACAAAAGTATAGGGCACTTAGATCTCCTTTGTATATATGTCTTTGTGTGTGTCCAGGGGCATCCCTAAAGCTTGGTCATGGGCTCATTTCGGGCAGGGCAGTGGGCCGATCCAATTGGACGCAGTACAGTGCACAGGCAATGAGCTCTCTCTGGACGAGTGCCGTCACAGCGGATGGGAACAACACAACTGTGACCATATGGAAGACGCTGGGGTGTCATGCAATCCCTATACAGGTCTCATCCTACACATAGACACACACATACAAACACTTACAGCCTTGGCTCTCTGGAATATCTTATTCTGATTGGTCATTCACAATATTCTGTGCCGTTTACCCTAATATACACAGTTTTCGACATAAACTGACTGTGCTAGTTTTATATCTCTTGTATCGTTCCTTGGTCTCTTTGTTGTCACATAAAAAAATAAATAATAATTTAGACTCGAATCAATATTTCATGTCCACTTATTTATTTATCTGGTAAGTAGTCATGTAAATGGGATGGTGTACAGCAAACAGGTTTTAACGCAAAATAAACCCCTTCAGGATGACATAAGACTTTGTTTCAGTTGACTGTACGTTATCACTTCCATTGGCAATACAGAAACTGTCCAGAGAGGCAATGTGTGTATATAGTGTGTGTTGGCATATGCATTCAGATGGCGTAGTGAGACTGGTAGACGGTGATAACCCATGGGAAGGTCGTCTGGAAGTATATCACTCTGGGGACTGGGGCACGGTGTGTGATGACAGCTGGACGGAGCAGCATGCACAGGTGGTCTGCAGACAGCTGGGATTCAGGTGCTATTCTTTAATCCTGCCGGTAGCTGTGTATATATACAGTAGCTGTATTACTTAAAACTGAGGAATGATGTACTGTCAGAATAATTCAAACAGTTGGGCCTTGATTAACTTAGATTTCATATAAAAGACATTTGGTAATGCAGTCATGTATATAAATTTTTAATATACCTGTACACTACTGTTCAAAAATTTGGGGACATTAAGATTTTTTGGTGTTTTTGAAAGAAGTCCCTATTGCATTTATTTAATCAAAAATACAGTAAAAACCACAATATTGTGAAATATTATTACAATTTAAAATAAATTATAATTTAAAAATTTTTAAATGTAATTTATTCTTTTGATTGCATAGCTGGATTTTCAGCAGCTATTACTCCAGTCTTCAGTGTCACATGAACCTTCAGAAATCATTCTAGTATGTCGATTTTTTGTTACACTGTAAAATTATTTACTGTCACTTTTGATCAATTTAATGCATCCTTACTAAATAAAAGTTCAAAGTTTAAAAAAATCTTACTGACCCCAAACTTTTGAATGGTAGTGTAATTTTGAATAAAACAATTGCCAAAAGCTCACAATAAATAATTTCATATAGTTTTTGTACTTCACAGCATTGTTACATTAATTTAAATATATAGGTATAGAGAAATAAACAGAAGTATATAAAACTGTTAATAATGTAGATCAACTATGACATTTTTCAGTAAATCTTCAGTAAATTAGTGCCCAGTATCAAATGCCTTAAGTTAGGAATATTATCACTAAGGGTTTTCTTAACCTAAAGGGGTTTGTTTTGCAATCGGCTGCAGGGATTTAGTAATTAAATTCACTTAGAAGTGTCCTCCTACACAATAGTAGTAAGTGTCCAATGTGGGCGTATGAATGTCTCTATAGGATCAATATGTATAAATGAAGTATTTTGCGGGAGAATTTAAAGTGGCTTTAAGTTATTGGGAATTTATCATGAGTGTGTGTGTGTCCATGTAGGGGTGGTGCAGAGGTCGCTCCTGCTGGCGCTTTCGGAGAAGGAACAGGGCTGATTCTGCTTGACGATGTGGAGTGTGAGGGCAGTGAGAGCTCTTTGCTGGAGTGTAAACATAGTGTGTGGGGTCGACATGATTGCTCTCATAGCGAAGATGTTGGAATACTCTGCCACAGGGTAGAAAACAATGAGGTCCCACTGGCTCCAGAAAGTACTGGTGAGTTATCTGGAACACACACCAACATACGCTTCAGTGTGTGAGTAAGGCTTTGTGTGAGGTCGGTGCAGATACGTTTTGCTGATATAATTCTCTGTGTGTGCACCGCTTTGACCCTTTCTGAAATTCAGAGGGGATCTAAATGTCACTTGTTGACAGAGGCCAGGAATAAACGCAGCCATTGTAGTTTCCCAAGTGCTTGCTTTTAATGATAAAAACTTCCATTTAAATTTCAATAAAGTATCGTGTAGCCCTTGGCATCCACAAAGCTACCTTTGCCATTTGACAGTGTAACATTAGAAAAACATGATTTATTTTCCCCAAACAAACAAAATTTCAATCTAAACTATTATCATATAACATCAGTACTCTTTTTGCCCCCAGTCAATGACATTTTGAGTATGTTTGAATAGGTATGTTTGAAATCTTAGGTTTGAATGGCAAGATTCATCAAAATGTGTGTGGCTGTGTGTTGCTTATAATGTTCTGCTAGCATTGTTATCTAAGAGATGAAAGATGACAAAGTCAAAATTCATGATTTTATTGATTAAAAAAGTTAGCCCTTTTTAAATGTTTCTTTGTATGATAAAGAACATTAGAGCCTTTGATGTAGCATTGGATTTTGGACGTTCAGTACGAATTGAAGATTCCACCTTATAGGAATTTTTTTTTTTAAAGCTACTGTAATTGTCACTTTATTCTAATAGACTTTATATATCACAATTATGAGTATAATTGCAACTTTTTACACTAGTACAATTACTGTCAAACGAAACATATACTTTTATTCAACAAGGATACAATAAATTGATCAAAAATGATATTAAATATATTTATGATGTTACAAAAAGATTTAAAATAAATGCTGTTCTTTTGAACTTAATATTCATTAAGAATCCTGAAGAAAAAATGTATCACGGTTTCCACAAAAATATTAAGCAGTAGAACTGCTTTTTTCAACATTGATAAAAATAAGAAATATTTATTGAGCATCAAATCAGCATATTAGAATGATTTCTGAGGATCATGTGACACAATGGGTGCTTAATAATGAGCTTTTTCATCACAGGAATCAATTAAAATATTTTAAATTTAAAATACATTAACAAAGAAGAGTTATTTCATAATATTACAGTTTTTAATGTATTTTTGACCTAATAAATTAGACTTTTCAAAAAGATAAAAAAAATCTTACCACCTCCAAACTTGTGAATGGTAGTGTGTATGTATATATATATATATATATATATATATATATATAAAATAAACTATATATATATAAACTTGGAAACAAAAAAGATATATATCTCACAGTAATCACCTGTGTATGTCTCACAACAAACAAAAAAACTGTGAAAATTAAAATTATAAAAGCAGACAGAAATTGTGTATCCTCAGATCTCTTCCTTGTTACATTCGTTTTTCTTTTTACAGATAGAAATTAAATGCACAGAAAGCTCAATATACAGTGGACATTATATTATATTTGACACAATATTTAATCAAAATTTAAGAAATGATAACTGAAAATGGAAATAAAGCTGTTGTTGTTTAGAAACCAACACTAGGGGGAGCTAACACTTCTGTTCATTAGCTAGGCGTTGTTAAATGTCATACACTGGTATTAGTCACTAGCTGGTGAACTACAACCTTTGCATCCCCTTACACTAGCTACTAATGATTTAAGCACTGCACGTAGTTCACGACAGCGCAGAGTGTATAGCAATGGGTTGATGCCTGAGTTCAGCAGGCATAGTGTACTGCAGAAGGCAAATGCCTTTTTTTGTGGTTTTGAAAGCTCTGTTGCAACTACATCTGTCATCATGAAGGAAAGGACAGGCAGCCAACACACTAACAGAATTAGCAAAACACAGCTAAAAGTCTTTGCCAAATGGATGTCCACACGCATACGTGCTAGTTCTGGATGTTCAGCGGACATATTGGCTTCATGTTTGTGGGCCATCCACACTATCAGAGCATAGGCTACCAGTATGAGGACGATCACCACCAACACAAGACTGGCAAAGAATCCCAAGTAGTAACGATTCACATATGGAAAGAGATGGGAGCATGATTGACAAGGCTGACATCTCCAGCCCATCAGAGGAAGGAAGGAAATGAGGGCAGCCATAACCCATAAAGTCACAATAGCCACCAAGGCTCTTTTACGTGTCAGCAGCACCTTGTAGGTTGAAACCTTGTAGATGGCGTGATAGCGGTCAGCTGCCATCACAAGCAGACTTCCAACTGATCCTGTAAACGCCATGGTCACGCCACCCAGCTTAAGCAGATACTCTGTTTGCTCAAACGATTTGTCAGAAAGGTGGAAATTCAGGAAGTGTATGGTGAAACAGATGCATGCAATAGTGTCCGCCAATGCCAAGCTGCCCATAAACAGGTAAGACGGATGTTGCCGTAGGTTCCTAGAGCAGGCTATGACAACCAGAATGAGCACATTGACCAGGAGGCTGAGAGGTGTGATCAACAGACAGATGGTGCCGATGGCTACCTTCTCTGTGCTGTTTAGCACTGTGTAGTCATTTTTGCAGGAAATTGTCATAATTTTAGTTATGGAAGTCTGTGAAAGTACAGTATATTGTATCATTTTAGATTTCCACAATTTGCTTTTGTAGCTATTTTGTAGTGTTTTACTCACCTGTACGAATCGGTTATGAATTGTGCTTCTTCCTGGTTGTGTTGTGTGGTCTGTTGTCGCGTCTAACCCAGTAACACCATGTTAAACAGAAAGAAAAAACCTTTAAAATGATATACATACCTAATATAGACACATACATACACACACTTAACAATAATTAAATAAATTATAATAATTAGACAATAATTTAAATAAATAATAATAATAAATTCATTGCCTTTCTTTGGAGAGTAGAAGCTTTACAGACCCATCTGTCACAAAAGCAGTTTCTTGAACAAGTGGCAGATCTGTGGTTAGTGGTTGTCAACATGAAGGCTTACACAACTACATTATGTTGTATGTGTGTGTTCTGCCTGTTGGAAAAATTTAATTTATTTATTTGACTTTAACATCTTTACATGAAAAGACATGCACAACCCGATATACTTTGATTATGCAACACATTGGATTAAAAAAAAAGGATATTTAATGAGAATAATGCAGCGCAGGACTTTTATCCATTAGGAGCTGATGAATTGTGAAAGTTGGGCTGCTACATATTAGAGAATGAGGGGAGGGATATCAAGACAGATATTCAAGACGATAACTGAAAAGGAAAGCTTTTTTTCTGTAACGTGCACTGATGAATTGCATACAAAAAGAATGTGTATTAAGATGTGCATGAATGTGTATTAAGAATTTGAGTTGAATTACTGAAATAAATGAACTTTTCCACGACATTCTAATTTATTGAGATGCACCTGTAAATAATAAAAGTCTATTTTAATTTCATGTTCATTTTATGATGCTATAAAACACTGACTATTCATTCTAAAAATAGAAACCTTATTTTGAGGTTCTTCCTTTTCACTGACTGTTAACATCATGTGCTTACATGTCATGTTGTGGTTTAAGCTACACTGCCAGTAACAGAGCCTGTTTCTTTCACTCCTAATACATTACACAAGACTGAGGTGGATGTGCTTCTTTTGTCTGAAACAAAATAAACTGAAGTCTGCAGTCACACCAAATTTCTTAAATCATTCATGTCTTTCGTGTAACTGCCTGTATTAAGCTTAAATGGAAAACTACTACTGAAAAACTACTTTTTGAAGATGCACAGTACTCTAAGTGACACAATCTAAGCTCTGTTCTCTATTTTGCTTGCTTTTCTGTGGTTTCAGGACCTCTGGTACGATTGGCAGGTGGCGACAATAGAAAAGAGGGCAGAGTGGAGGTGTTTCTTAATGGAGAGTGGGGCAGCGTCTGTGATCATGGCTGGAATGATGTCAATGCTGCCGTCGTCTGCAGACAGCTCGGATTCACGTACGGATACATTTGCATAATTTTAACACAAAATAGCTCAAAAGCATCTTATAATCAGTACTATGGAATACGATTTATTATTTCTCAGGCACGATGAATGCAAAGTCTTGGAATGTTTGTTTTGCTCTCTATGGCAGTGGGGTGTCAAAAGCACGACCGATGGGTTATTTCGGAGCAGGGAAGGGGACCATCCATCTGACCAACGTGAGGTGCACTGGGAAGGAGTTGCTCCTCGGAGAGTGCCCTTATAAAGGACAAGACAGCCACGCTTGTAAGCATGGACAGGATGCAGGTGTGGTGTGTGATTATTTGCCAGAGCCAGAGGCTGACATAGCAGTGGTGGGCACACACACCTGCGGTTTGAGAGCCGGCGCTGAGAGACGCAGCAAGAGGATTGTTGGAGGATATAAAACTCTCAGGTAAGCAGTCATCTAAATTTTACTGCTGTTGAATCAGTTCTAGAGCACATGTTGTGGACATTTGTTCAGATACAATTTATTTTATTGCATATAAAGATCATGCTTAATTTAAGATGTTTACTATTGTCCGAAAATGAATTCATTAAAATGTTTGAAATTATAATTATAACTAAAATAGTTTCTAACAACTTTCCAGATACCCCACACTGGACAAAAAGTACTTTGAAACAATTTTCACTAAAAAGTAACACAATTTTGTGAAGTAGAAAGACTGAAATAGTATTTTCTTGTTAAACATGCTCCAGTAATCTTTATTTACAACTTCAAAAAATACAAAATAAAATTAAAATAAAATAAAAAAATATATAAAAAGTGTGTGTGTGTGTGTGTGTATGTGTGTGTATATATATATATATATATATATACAGTGCATATGCAATTAAACAGATTTCACCTCAAACACATGCCATTGCAGTGTTGTTATTGTTAACCAAATCTAAAACTATTAAAAACTGGTTTTGGTAATTGTAATAAAGTTGAAATAAAATGAAATATAAATATTAAAAGAAAAACAAAAGTCAGAAGTCAAATCATAAGAAAAACTAAAATCTGAAATGTTGCCTTTTCAGCAAACTGGAATAAGTTGAAGTTGAAGTACCAAAACTAAAACTGTAATCAAAATAAAACTAAATAGAAATATACATATATATAAAAAAAATAATAATAATAACTAATAAAAACAACAAAATTACTAAAACCTAATAAAATAAAAATTGAAAATATAAAAATAAAAGCTAATTCAAAATATCAATAAATATTGCAATAATGTTTAAATACTACAATAGGTTGAGCCAATGTTTCTGTTTTTTTTTTTTTTATCGCACTACAGACCCTCAGTGATTATACTTTTTGGGTTAACCGACATAGAAATAGCCTACTTTGCCAGTTGTTTCTAAATATTAAGCTAAAATTATTTTTTTATAGTAATTTTATAGTTTTTTTATAGTAATTAATTTTAACATCTAAAAATGAATATGCTTTAAATTTGAATTGTGTTTATAAGTTCTTTGATTGTTAAAATTCAATGCTGACACTCTCTACTTAAAACTGTTCTTTTACTGCAGATAAATATGACTATTTCTCCACCACATCCATTGTGTTTGTGTCTGTATGTTTGTTTGTGTGTGTGTGTTTGTGCACATATGTATACCCCACAGGGGTGACTGGCCCTGGCAGGTGTCCCTGTGGCTCAGGTCTCAATCTAAAGGGAATCAGCCTCTGTGCGGAGCCACTCTCATCAACTCCTGCTGGCTGCTCACTGCAGCTCACTGCTTCAAACAGTAAGAGAGAGACACCTGCTGGACATCAGTGCTATTAGCTGCTATGCCTAGGCTCCTCAACTCCCGAATCCAATTCCATAATCATTTTTAACTGATTTTGATTTAATTGAAATCACTGAGAGCACAAAAATAAGTGGCCAATTTATAAGCATTGTGAACTGTGAACATGTTTTCCAGATGTCATCAGTTAACACAAACATATTAAGCAGCACAACTGTTTTCAGCATTAATAATAATAAATGTTTCTTGAGCACCAAATTAGAATATTAGAGCATATTAGGGTGATTTATGAAAGATCGTGTGACACGGAAGACTGGAGTAATGACTGCTGAAAATTCAGCTTTGCCATCATAGGGATAAATTATATTTATTAAATAGAAATCGGTTTAATATTTCACAACATTACTCATTTGTGACCCTGGACCACAAAACCAGTCTTAAGTGTCAGTTTTTCAAAATTGAGATTTATACATCATCTGAAAGCTGAATAAATAAGGTTTCCATTGATGTATGGTTTGTTATGATTGAGAAAATCTCCTTTAAAGTTGTCCAAATGAAGTTCAATGCATATTACTAATCAAAAATTACGTTTTGATATATTTACGGTAGGAAATGTACAAAATATCTTCATGGAACATGATCTTTACTTAATATCCTAATGATTTTTGGCATAAAAGAAAAACCTATAATTTTGACCCATACAATGTATTTTGGGCTATTGCTACAAATATACCCCAGCGACTTAAGACTGGTTTTGTGCTCCAGGGTCACATTTCTGTATTCTGTATTTTTGATCAAATAAAATAAAAATAAAACATTAGTGAGCATAAGAGACTTCTTTCGGAAACATTAAAAAATCTTATCAACCTCTCTTTTGAACGTTAATGTACATATTAATGTGTACAAATCATTGCTCTGTAATTTTCTGTAATTAGTTTTAGAATGATTTACATAAGACAGCTCCTGTAAATCAGCACTAAAGTAACACTCAATTAAAATGAGATTAGTAGCGGAATGATTGAAATGGTAGTGTATCATCTGTAATATGAATGAATGTCTTGATTCTACAGGTTTGGAAGTGATGCTTCACGGTACGTGGTGAAGCTCGGGGATTATAACACACGGGAGCAGGATGATTTTGAACGTGTCCTCTCTCCAGAGCGCATCGAAGTGCACAAGAAGTACCGAACAGAGAGCTGGGAGCATGACGTGGCTCTGATCCGGCTGAAGGGCGCTGAGGGGAAGTGCGTGTCCTTTAACCCACATACTAACGCCGTCTGCCTGCCTGCACCTGGAAGCAAGTGGGGCAAGAGACCTGCATCATGTGTCATCACTGGCTGGGGAATGACAGGTAATATTGGGTTGTTCTTTTCTTACAAGGGCACAATAT